TCAACTTGGAGTGAGAATTTTTTTTTGGGGTTGTAAAAAAAAAAAAAATAGAAAAAAAAAAATATATTACTAACTAAATAATATAAAAGTACTAAAAAGCAAGCAAAATTGTCCGATTTTTTCCTCACCTCCTCACTAGGTTCAAAGTCTGGGTGTGTGAAGGGGCCAGTTCTCTCCAGGAACTTCTGCACATGACTCCAGCGGCCATCCCAGTCACCAATACTGCAACCTTCAACTGCCATGCTAGCAAAAAACAAAATGAAAAAAATACCAAAATATACTTAAGATACATGCAACAACCACCAGAATTTAAAACAATAATTACCTACACTAAACAAAAAAAAAATATATATATATATGGCTCTGATTTCTCAATGAAATGTTTGATAAAAGTTATCTCTATAAATCTTTTTTGCACTCCAGTCATGAATCTTCAAACATTTGACTCACGTTGTTTTAATTGTGACGCACATGTTTCAAAATGCAGAGGTTTCTGAACGTAGTTTATCTGTCAATGAGCTATTAAGTGCTGTCGATACAGTATTCTTACTTGTAGCCCATGCAGCACAGTAAATAAACAACTGGAACTTACGAGAATAACACTTGACATGGTTTAAGAGTTTTATATCGAGAAGAATGCGACAATAAGAAAATCACAGCTAAAGCTCAGACGTAATTAAAGTGATAATGACAGTTCTGTCTGAGCACAGACCAGACCTAATGAAGACCATTACTGCACGACAGAGTAATGCTAAATTTCATTAGGTGCCTTGAAAGTTATTAACAAGCCTAGCAGCATAACAATTCTATGCTATGTGTGCTGCTAATATCTTGCCCTTCACAAATTAAAATCCGATTAATCATTAGATTCTTGTTACTTTCTCCGCTTTGTTTACAAGTCAAATGCAGGATGAATTTTCAGTCCCTATGCTGAGCAATCCTCAAACCTGCAGCCAGCTCTTAGCATTTCATCACTAACTTCTCAGTCAGCGCCGCTATTCTCCTTCTTTTCTTTTCCCTAAAAAGAAGAAACGAGAGAAGGCTCAAACAAGCTTGCACACGACCACATATCCGTGTAATAATGTTGTAATGAGTTCATCTGCGCTCATTGTTCGTTCTGCGGCACTTACGGCTCTTCTCCATCCGCCATACTTTCAGCGTCCCATTCTTACCCATCCTGCTTTGCGGCGGCGAATCTGTCACCGTTCAAGTCGAAATGCTCGCCACTTGGGAGGCCTGTAACCCACTTCAAACTCCATTTAATTTGACAGAAAGATTTTTTTTCTTTGCAGATTTGAGCATGTGCTGGAGGGATGAAGCACAGCGCCACTGGTTTATACAGTTCGACATTAAATGTCATGGTTATCTGAAAAAGGTATAAGAATATAAATTATGTATGCAGCACAAAACTAAATGCTACCAGTGCTTGTGTACAGCATCAAGCTATACTTTAATTTTACACACTGACCATGAAAATCACAATGACTGGACCTTTTACTATGCCTTTAATAGTTTATTTTCTTTTATTCATAGAATTAATTTTTTCCCCTTGTCACAGGCCCAGATTTTTCAATTTTAAAAATCAAAAAAATAATAAAATGGTTTAACAAAATAAAAAGTCAATAAAATGGTTTAACCATAAAACTATGATAATCTTAACATGTGAAAATATTAGCCATTTATATTAGCCAATATTAATTGTAAAAATATTTTATATGACTATGACAAATTATACAACAGGCCATATAGGATATATGTAACAATGTTTTGCAAAATCACTGCTAAATAAATTGTTTTTTTTCTGTCAGATGTGCTGTTGTTGTTACCAATGTGGCATGATTTCTCAGACTTTCTATTAACAGTATTTTTGATATTCTTAAGATTAATAAAGCAATTTTTGTTTCAAGCAAAGACCAAAAGAAAAAAAAGAAGAGATGAATATATAATGCACTTTTATGGAAACAAACATAAGTAGTTATATCAAGATGAATATTGAACTGTTGATGTATTACATCTTATAATTATTGTATTACATGTGTTAGATGGAAGATTATGTTTGATTTTAATTTTAAGTTAGAGATGTTTACAAGAGCTTCAAACCCAGAAAAAATCATTCAAAATATCAATTTCTTACACAATAACACAGTCTACATTACACATGCTTCTGTTTATCTGAGATCATATCATAATGTCGATTTGTTAAATTATCCTTCATTTTTATTTATTCTTCTTCAAAATTAATTGATTTTATTTCACACAGAATGTCAAAGTTAGTTTATTCACAGAAAACAACCCCATTCAAATTGTTACAAATTATAACCAGCAAAGTAACTGAAACTTTATAAGTTCAACACCCTTAAGAACGTTATTATATTTTAATTACATAATCATAAGACACATCTTATAATAATCTTTTTTTTAATAAAAATATTTTTGTTTTATTTAAATTTTCTGCAAAATGTCCAAATATTTTAATGCTTTCCTTTACTAGATTTTCAAATACCAGTGCTAAACCTTCATTGGTTCAAATTATGAATCTACCAATGAGGAGAAGGATTTTCACACGGTCTCAAGGTGCTTTTCTTTATCTGCGAGTAAATGCTTTTTGTACCCTGACCCTCTGACAAGCACTTCTCATCCCTAACCTATTTCCAGCACTGTGCAACAAGGCTGATGTTTGAGTCCCAGACTAGTATAAACATGTATTACTGTGCTAATAATCAAGAAAACCTGAAAGAAATTAGATAATGCCATGTTAACACTGTTTGTGTGTTTTAATAGCATAGCTAATGAATATGAAGTCATATGTCTTTGAAATAAAACAACTCCTACACACACCTGTTGCCTCCTACAATTGCAACACACAACATTTCTCAGTTTGCGTTAACCCCCTTTAAATCAGAATTAATGTGCCCAAGTGTCTTTTACTCTGGTGATATTGGAAACATCCTTAAAGCTTCATTCAGTACGTTTATTACACTGATTGCACGAGTCTAGTTTCACTATCTCACGGTAATAACATTATCTGACTAAACTGGATCTGGAAATAGTTCAAATAAAATAATCTACTCAACTGATTAACCATCTTTCTGGTTGTGAATGAGTGGGTAGTAAAGGACTGTTGCTGAGTGCGGTCGTCCAATCCTGTTTTGCGGGCATCTTGCGTTCTTCAGACTCCCGTCCCACTTTTACTCATAAAAGATCCCTGGCTGGCAGGCCAGGCAGTAGCTAATTAGTTAGCTACTATTCGAGAGCAGGCTTAACCAGGTCAATCCGGCCTGTGGATACTTCAACATTTCTCCATTTTCTACCCACACAGACTAACGCAGTGTGCAAACACATGCTCTAGATCGCACACATTTGCGCGTCTTTAGTGCAGTTTGCATTGCATTCGGATAGTTTCGCACAGCTCCGTGCTACAGAAAGCGCTTTCCAGCAGCAGGAGACACCTGGATTTCAGCTGCAAAAGCCAGCACCTTGGTTTTCAAATACACGTGCAGTTTGGGATTGCATACGTCTCTCAATCTGTGTGCAGAATGGCGAGACCTTCAAGGTAAGCGCGTTTTGTTGGTCTCTTGCTTTACAGCAATCGCAGGTTCGCACATGATGCGATCTGTATGTGGGTCTCTCCATGTTTGCTAAATGCTAAGTGGCTAACCAGCATTTTTCTACGCGTGTTTACATTGCGACCCAAAACAGCTAAAATCACACGTAAACACGTAGATTTCCATCTCTCTATACACATATAGATTTATTTTCATTAAAACCGTGGCTACATCGGTTTCTGCATCCCCAGACGTGCGTGTGTTAATCGCAAGCATCCAGCATCAAATAAAAAAAGCGGGATAGTAGTTCACACTGGTGGCTAATTAATATTATACAAAAACAACCAGCTAGCCATCGTCGCCAAAAAAAACAAACAAAAAAAAACACTCGCTTTACGATCATCTCGTAATTTAGCGAAAATGTGGTATACTAAAAACGTACTGCGGTGTAAGTTTCACGTGTTTTCCACAGTTAGCCCCGTGAGCATTAGTGTTAGTTTAGCAGCGCGTGTGTGTTTGAGCAGCGCATTGCGCGCCATTACTTCACACACACGACTCGAGCCGTTTCTCCTGGAAACTTGTTTTTAATGAATGCACTTTGGGTTCGGAAATGGTTTCAGTCAGAAATCAAGGCCCCTAAAAGTGGGTAATCAATAAACGTGTTTACGTTTCGCGATAAATATATATTTAAACGCGCCCAAGCTTGTTGTTTTCGTAACATTAGCGTTTGATAAGTGCCAACGAGCTCAAGTGACGTTAACACGGGCAACATGTTGTTTCTCATCTGTCAGACTGTATTTATTTAATATGCGAGTTTGGGAGTGAATGTTGTTCTCGTCGGTATAAATTATGGATTGAGGAGGTCCTGTGGGCAGTGAATATAATCCGACCTGCAGGGCCTGTAGTTCAATGCCCCTATCCGAGCACAGAGTCCCTCCCCACACTGCTGCTGTTGGCATAGCAATTAACCTACTCCAACATGGCACCCCTGTCTCCTCTGCCCCTTCAGTCAAGCCACACAGCTTTAAATAAGAGGAGTGACAGCTCTGTTGCTATATGGAGGATGAATTAAAAAAAGTTATTTTTTTGTTGTTGTTGTTTTTACATTTTGGATTCATACAATTAAACTTGTTTTTTTTTTTAGCCTGGAGAGAAGTTCTGTTGCATTCAGATCAGGTTGTTTAAACTTTTTTTTTTTTTTTTTGCGATAACCTGCCAATTCTTTGAGTTCAGACAAATAAATAATAATAATAAAAATACTCAAAACTTCAACCAGAGCTAAATGTTTTATTGTTCTTCTCACATTAAAAAATGTACAATGTAGAATAGGCCTCTACATCATTCATTATTATTTTATGATTATTGACATTGGAATGTAAGCACTGAAGCATGTAAATGCATTAATATTGTGACAAAAATATTCATATAGATTGAAGACCCCTGTAGTGAACAAATTTTTAGGTCATAGATAATAAATGATTTATAAACATGTGCTACTGAATGTGTGTTTGTTATCTTGTGGGTCATTTACTTTTCCTTTCATGTTCTTTGTGCACAGGAATAAAAGGGTTGTTGACTATGCACAATTCCAGGAGTCTGACGATGCAGGTAAGCTCCTCTAATGCAAATATTTATTTGTTTCCACTTTACAGAGTTCCCACAGTCAGGAAACATCAGGGAGATTTTAAAAATGTTTCCTCCAGGTTTGGAAAAATCATGAAAATGCTTAAAATAAAAAATGGTGGGAAAAAGTGCTCTAATTAATGGTAAATAATGACACTGTGCTGCATTAATAGTTTAGTAGATGCGGTGTTGAATGTGCTTTGAAGTCGTGCTGTTTTCTAACCTGATTCAACTGAATGACTTTATACAGATGAGGAATATGGAAAAGAATCGGATCGGCCTGAGAAAACCTCTGTAAAACGCAGGTCAGTCTGTTTGAATAATTATAATATTGTTAAATATTAATATGTAGCATAGCATCTGAGATAGTAATAAATGATTACTATCTTATGAAAGCAAAAAATTGTAAATAGTGGTTGTAAAAGTGTGATGTTTAAGCACCGCTGTCTCATTTGCATGTATTTATTTTAGCGCTCCTCCATTTGAAATGTTATTTATCAGCTGCATACATATCCATTACACTGTTTTATTTAAATTCATGTATTTTCTCGGAATTATTTTAAATACCTTTAAAAATAAATGCTGTATTTCTTCTCGTGTAGTGATGATTCTCGAATCAAGGACCACAAGAGTAAGTCAATTCTTATAATATATATATATTTTTTCATACTTTATTTAGTTATTGAATATTCTGTCAAAATGCTTTTTTATCCCCTTATTCTAGAGGAATTCAGTGATGATGACAATGACTATGGGGAGAATGAGGAAGAGGAGGATGATGGTGGTGACAGTGAGTTTGATGCTAAAGAGGCCAGCAGGGGGAGACGGACAACAGCTAAACGGAAAAGGGCTGCAGGTATTACCAATATAAACCCTTGAATGACTGCTTCATTCATGACATAAAGTCATGTAGTCATTTTTGATAACATTAATGGAGTAAGCTACTTTCTGTGCACGATTGACATTCAGCCTTGTAAATGTTCTTATATTTTAGATTCTTCATTAAATTCTAAATATGTTATATAAAATATAAGTTAAATCAAAATAATGTCTTGTATTCTTCAAGTGGTCATCTGTGTTATTTTAGTATCATTGAGACTTTTATACTTAAAAAAAAATTGTTTTTGAGTTTTTATGTTTGTGTTTTCTGTTTTCATTTAAATTTGAGTTAAAGTTGTAATAATGTTGCTGTGCTTTTATTTTTATTAGTTTTTTTAAATATATCTTTATAGTTTGTAGTTTTTATTTCAGCTTTAGTTTTAGTCATTTTAGCACATCAAGTTAAACTAAATGAAAATAAGAAAAGTTTGTTTGGCAACAAGCTGATATAAGGGTTTTTTCATATTGTATTTCAGTTAAGAGCTTTTCATTTCAAGTAACAAAAAGTAGTGTATAATGTTAAATAAAAACATCCCACGTCACAAACTTTGCTGTCAGTAGGCAGTGATTAATATCTATCTGTTAAATTCTATCCAATATCTATTGTAAATAATAGTTTAAATGTAACAGCAATGTATGCTGTTAAAATGCAATTTTGTTCTTTTATTCCTCTTTACAATGTCAGCCTGCTCTCATCTGTAATGTTGCCACTCTAATTAACTTGCAAACCTTCAGCTTGTTAATTAACCATGCATCTGCTCTTTTGACGCACAGATGACAGTGATGATGATGATGGTAAGGTTGTGAGGAAGAAGGGCCGGCAGGTGCGTCAGGCTGCCACTAAAGCTGCGTCCAAACAGAGGGAGATTCTTCTTGGGGATGGAGGAAGTGAGGATGAGGAGGGAAAGGAAGAGGAGGAGGAAGATGACAGTGACGTTTACACTGGGGGTATGTAGAGTATTATACTAGAGTCAAAATATTTGACATAGATGTTAGCTAACAGTGAGATACTTGTTGCTTTGATTCATACTTCTCTCTTCTGCTCATAGAGGATTCAGGCAGTGATGAAGACTTCATGGCTGAGGATGACGATGATGACAGTGATTATGGCCGACCCAAACGGAAGAACTCAAAAGTGAGCAGGAGAAGCAAAGACAAGAAATCCCCTAAACCCAAGATAAGGGCTTCAGGTAAAGCCACCCATTATCCTACCATCAGAAAGGTCTACTGTAACACCTTCCTAATTAATCGCTTCCTGCTCAAATTAATTAAGAACTTCCTCCAGATGCCTTTAACCGTCACAGTTACAGTAATCAAGTCAATTATCTTCTCCCAGTGACCCGAGGGCCCAAGAAGAGGAGAGGAAAACGTCAGACGAAGGTGAAGAGAGTTGTGAAGAAGGCCTCGCCTAAAGCTGAAGATGAAGATATCGAGAGCAACAAGGAGGAGGAGGAAGAGGACGAGGCGCAAGAGGAAGACAGAAAGGAGTCGCCTGCCCCCAAGAAGACGCAGGATGACGAAAGCGGCGCCGAAGGAGAGGAAAACAACGACAACGGTGAAAAGGAGGAGGAGAATGAGAATGAGAATGAGAATGAGAAAGAGAAAGAGGAGAAGGACGATGTTTCTGAGGAGGAAGCTCCATCAGGCGAAGACTGAGCTCTTTCGCTTGCTGGTGAACGTGTCTGTTATCTGTTTTTCTTAACGAGGAGCAGTAGGATTTAATTCCCACAATACTCAAAGAGTGTTTTGGATGTTTGTTATGTCTCTCAGCTTGTAAATACCATATCTCAAAAAACGAAATCTGTAAAGTATTGTCAGACCTATCCTAAATCTGTACGGTTTGGCATAATCTTGAAATGCGGACCTTCATATTAATATTTATCAACGTTTCAATTATAGCTTTGCCGAAACTGTTTTGTTACAGCTGACCTTCAATGTATAACAAAGGATGAAGATGATTTGCCCAAAAAATGCAGATTATACTGTAGGCTCTGTAGTTTACTTTCGGGCACCTTAAAATTGTTCCAAATGCATTTGAAAAGAACGCAACTGCTTGTTAATTCCCAAACAAACCATTTTTGTGACTTTTAATGTACATGATCTCATCCCAGCTGCGTTGACCGGTGAAAAAACACAGGCTTATAATGAACATATACGCTTGTCGTCATGAACTGCGCTGGATTGTTGTGGCTGCAGTTCAGTCACGTGATTTCCTTGCTACATCGACTGTACGTTACATAGCTCTAGTACGCTACTTTCTCCCACTTTCCGTGCAGTTATTTCTTGATTCAGTCTAGTAAATCAGCTTTTATCCATCTGAGCATTTGAACTAAGATGACTTTTTCTATGGTTGTATTGAACCTCTTTCATGGTTAGCATGCTTTCATGTACGTGGTGCGAAGTACGTCGGTGGGCGGAGTCTCGGGCTCCGATGTAAACCTTCAGGATGAGTGATGTCAGAAGTGAGCTAGTGAAAACCTTATTATTGACCTCTGTGATGCTTCATGTGTGCATTTTCTTAAGAATATTTGACGCTTATAGATGCCTTTTTTAAATGAGCGGTCCGTTGAGCCATTAGAATGGTAAAAACGAGCTGAATTCAGTGCACACCATCCATAGCTTTCTCAGCTGCAAATGACCATTTTTATTGCTTGTATCTCCATCCTAATCTGTAGCCTTTCAGTCTATATCATAATTTATCCCAAATAAATGTTTGTTTTAATTACGCTATTCTGATTTTTGTAAAATTTGTTTTACAAGGAAAAAATAAAATGTATCTTTAAAGAAATCTAGTAGTTGGTGACCTGTTCTTCACTTTTTTACAGCATAAACTTTTGTTAGACTGTAATGGAAATGACATCATGATGTTTTACTAGCTTCTTTCAGATTAAAAACTGACATCCAGATGTTTTCTTCAAGTGCTGGATGAATATAATTGAAGCACAGCTCCTTCTTACAGTTCTTACAGGTTTGAAGAAGATCAGAGAAGATTGATCCCTGATGTGCAGCTGTGTTTTGTGTTTGTACGGTTCCTTAAGCTATGCTACTTTCTTTTAGAACCAATACTGTACATCTCAGGATGGCTGAATATAGTATCACACATGAAATCAAAGCAATAGCTTGAGAGAAACACTAGTTTTTCTTTTACTCTTCTTTTTATCTGTTTCCATACATGTAAGATGCAAAGAACTTGCTGGAAGAGTTCAGCTGAGCAAGATTTGCTTTTATACAAATAGAAAACTGTGGCAATGACCTCCAGCATTTTTGAGGGGATTTCTCAGCAGTGCACAATAAAATACTTAATGGTTGTCACATTTACTATTGTTCTGTGAATTTTTGTGGATAAAACAGAGTTCAATAGGAATTCATGCGATCTGTAATTTTGCATGAGAGCTCAAGATTAATGCAGATTTTGCGATGTATTCAAATTGGTCATGCAGATTCACCACGCTGACCGTCTGTGTGAGCGAGCTGTGCTTCATGCACGTTACACTACTACTGGCATTAAAAAAAAAAAAAGGAAATTTTTGCTAGTGTGACTGGACCTTTAGGATGACAACCATTTTGGGACAGTTCACCCAAAAGTGAAACTTTTCATAGTGAGTATCATTTACTCACCCTCATGCCGTTCCAAACCTGTATGATTTCTTTCTTCTGTATGAAGCCCCACACATGACATGCAGAGGCAGAAAAAAATAGAATTCGTTCCCACGACTTAATTTGTTGCCTTGTTTCAATTAAATCATCACCAGAAATTAAGAATTAGTTTGTGACCACGTTGTACTTTGTTCCTTATTTTTAAATCAAAATGAGGGAACAAATTAGTACAACATGGCCACGATTTAAGAAAACGAGAAAACGGTTTAAGTTGTGGGAACAATTCTTAATACATGGCCATAATTTCACTAAAAATAATTCTTAATTTCTGGTCGTGATGAATATATTTTTATTTGCATGTCATAGGTGGGGCTCTGTATTTCCGCAGTACACAAAAGGTATTTTAAAGTTTATTTTAAATGTTTTAACTACAATAACACAACATTAGGCTACAGTGACCTTCATTGTATGGAAAAAATGAAAAATGTAAAAAAAAAAAAATTTGAGTTGTAAAGAATAAAAAGTAATACAGGTTTGGTTCAACATGAGAGTGAGATTCAGCATCTGACATCATCATAATTTGTCTAGGACGCATGCTTTATTTATCTTGGCAGAACACATGAAGTTTACACAGCAAGGTGATGACATGGTGAACAATAATTTATTGCAAATAATTGTTTGCCTTAGTCATCACGAGTTTATTTATTTTCATGTAAATACAGTACATTTCTCCATGAACCTCCATGAACTCCAGCCCAAGACCAGTTTAACCAAGAAAAAAAAATGACTAGGAAAGTTTTGAATGACTAGGAAAGTTCTAGGAATTTCTGCATCAGGTTGGTGAATTATTAAACGAGTTTAATCTGGTATTTAATTTAGTGTTAGTGATTTTCAGTCTTGGGTAAAGTACAAAACTTTATACATTTTATGCCATAAATTACTTAATTCCCCTCCTGTAATTAAAGATTTCTCACATTTGTTAGAGTCTCCTGTTCCAATAATATTCATAATTTAGCAGTCAAGATTATCTGCGAGAAACTGAACATCAAATAAACAAAAAATACATATATACCAATACCAAACGTAGCAGAAATACATAAAAAACATATTGCATCACTATAGTTTCTGTTGTTGTGGGGTTTTTTTTGTTTTTTTTTAGACAAATATGATAATGAAAGCACACTGACTGTTTACAGTTGTATTGTTAAGTATTTCCAGCAGATTATGACCCATGAACGGTCTCATCCAGAGTCATATTTAATTGATTCAGTTTGTTTTACAGCAACTTTCTGTTCTGGAGCTGCTTTCTCTGAAGCAGGTGGAGCAGGTGCCGGTGACGCTTCCACCATGGCTGCTTTTTTAGATGCTCCTGAATGATGAACACATTGAGCCAGAGTCATATAATGTTGTCCAGTTTACTCAAACAGTATTAATATCACCAGTTCACCAGTACATAAATTATCACCATGTAAGTTTGATGTTTTTACCTGTGAGATTTCTGTGGATGCGGTTGCACAGGATCACGCTGAGAAAAAAGACGAAACCGAGGCATCCAGTGCCCAAACCACACACTAAAAAACTGTAAGTGCCTTTTTTCTGAATTAGCTAGAAGAAATTTGCTCAGGGTTATTTACTTCCTTAGAAAATCTTTCCCAAATATTAAAACAGGAGCCTAAGAACTTACTGATCCAACCAACACCTGCAACGTCATCTCACCCATTCCAGCAGTTGTCACTAAGACTGTTGTTGCACATCCTGAAGAAAAAAAGAGAAAGTGTTTGTTTGGCTACATTTGTTCATAATTGTGGGACCATCTGAAGAATTTGAAGTCAAATGTAATAAATACATCTATCTATCTATCTATCTATCTATCTAATTGTTTCAAATTAAGAACGTCATTAGATGTCCCCAACAGGAGGTTTTGTCATATTTTCTCACTTTTGGGGTCAAATTTGAATTTCTATAATGATAAAAACTAAGAAATTCATACATTCATAATATAAAATAACAAGTATTTGTAATTTACAGTCTGTAATAGAAATTCATAATATAAAATTATTTAGAATTTATAGAATAATAACAATTAATAATAATAATAATTATTATTACTATTATGGAATATAGAATATAAGAACAATATAAAGTTAAATGTCTCCACCATGATATAAAACACGAAGTATGTTTGTGTGTAATTTACCGCGGTACTCTAGGATATCCTCGGTGTAGGCCACTAGGCAGGGGAAAACACTGCTGATGAAAAGCCCAAGCAAGGTCGTCCCAACAAACAGAAACACTCTGTTTGTGTAGAGGATCAGTAACAGCAGCAATGTTACAATCACACCAGCCTAAAGAGAGAGAAGTGAGAGAATTCACATTCAACAATCCTAAATCATTGATTCATTACATACTCAACAGCCACATGCTGTATTTCGAATAGCTGATAGCAACAGGGGAGCAGTATAATAGTAAAAACTTAGTTTGAGTGGATGTGTACTCTATAAACATGAGCTATATTACAGAGTATGATAATAGATTACCAGGTTCACGACGAGCAGATGCACAGATCTGAATCGGTATGACAGCGGGATGGACACCAGTCGTCCAGCAGTAACAGCTGCCCAGAAGATACAGTTCAGGTATGCTGCCATTTTAGCGTGCAGAGACATGGGAGCTGAAACAGCATACGTGTAAACAAATCCGGCGTAGACCCCCTAAAAGTGAGGTTCAAGGGTCAATATTAACTTGCAGTTCTCAAAAATATTCATTAAAATAATTAGTCTCATTGAGCTCACTCACCATAATACCTTCCGTCATGAATAACACCAAACCGCCTAAGATGTGGATACCAAAAAACGTGACCGGTAACCCACGCAGGCTACCATTCATACAGCAGCTGAAGATGTTTCCATGTCCTCCATGATGAAAACCTAAGGGGATCATAATAAAAAAAAATAAAACAAGTTGTCACGAAAGCCGTACCTCAATAACTAGCAGAAGTCAATTGTATAAATGATTTTACATGTTAGTTTCAGTCACCTACACTACTGTTTAACAGTTTAAAAGGCTCAATAGAATTGTTTTTTAAATAAATTAATCATTTTATTAATCAGGAATGCGTTAAACTGATCAAAAGGGACAGTAAAGACATTTTTAATGTTTACAAAAGATTTCTATTTCAAATTCTGCTTTTGAATTTTCTATTTATCAAAGAATCCTGGAAAAAAAGGTTATGGTTTCCGCAAAAACATTAAGCAATACAACTGTTTTCAACATTGATTATAATAAGAAATGTTTCTTGAGCAGCAAATCAGCATATTAGAATGATTTCTGAAGGATCATGTGACACTGAAGACAATTCAAGAAAATTCTGCTTTGCATCACAGGAATACATTACATTTTAAAATATATTTAAATAGAAAACAGGTTGTTTTAAATTGTAAAAATCTTTCACAATATTGTTGTTTTTACTGTATTTTTGCTCAAATAAATGTAGCCTTAGTAAGCCTTCAGTGATGTGTTAAATTAAAAGGATAGTTCACCCAAAAATGAAAATTATTTTATTAATTACCTTTCCGGGTCTGGGAACATATCAGTTGTGTTGCTGTCTATGCAGGTTCAGAGAGCTTTCGGATTTTATCAAAAATATCTTAATTTGTGTTCCGAAGATGAACGAAGGTCTTACGGGTTTGGAACGACATGAGGGTGAGTAATTAATGACAGAATTTTCATTTTTGTGTGAACTATCCCTTTAAGACTGCTGTTCACTTGTACCTGCATCGTCTGGTTCAGATATTTCTGTGCCTTCTGGTGCTTTAGTCTCCATGGCCAGCTCATCTTTGTCCAGCAGACGTGGTGTGCTATTTGGGCAGAAGGGGAGCAGCTTCTCTTGGTACATCAGCACAAAAACCACAATCGGCACGGGTAACTAGGAGAGAAAAACACTAGGAGTTCTCACAGAGACCCAAGACCTTTTGCACACCACGCACAGGGCTATGCATCAGCTTACATTAATGAGAGCCATGATCCAGAAGGCGTACGCCACGTTGGCCTTCTCCTCCACCGGCTCTGAGTGCGGGGAATTCTCAGCGAGGATTACAGGTGACCTGAAGCTGGATCTGAAGTGGTGAATTATCTCTGTGGCATTTTCTGTGCTATTACTGCCCAGGCAGTGCTCTGATATGAAAGGGTCTGCAATCAGGGGGCTCACCAGAGCACCGAGCCCAATGAAGAAGTGCAGTGCCTGGAAAGAGAGTGAAGACACAGACAGGAGACTCAAATTAGAGCTGTCAATCTAAGGTGTTAATTTAATAAAAATTAATTATAAAAGAAATAAATAATACATTTAATTATGCCCCTGTACAAACCACATTCCCCTCCCTAAAAAAAAGGGGGAAAAAAGAAAATGTTGCATAAAATAAAAAAAGGAAAATATGGCACTCATTTTTTGCATTGTGACATTAATATCAGGACAGATAACCATATCACCCCAGTTTTCATAAAGTGTTTAGTATTTTTTTAAAGGAATTCCATTATTGTAATAATGTTATTTATTATACTGTATCACAGTAAAATACTGTTTGCAAAGATTTTTAATTAAAATGATTAAAAAATGTTTTTATACATTTTAAATTTATATAAATGATGATGATTATAATAATTATCATTTATTATAATGATTATATAAGACTCTCTATTTTGCATTACAGTTATGATAATTTTTTACTGCTTTATTCTGTGTTTAAAATATTAACAGGATGAGGACACAAGGAGATTTTTATTTTTTTTAATTATTATTATTATTATTTTTTTATTATAGTGCTGTCAAACGATTAATCGCGATTAATCGCATCCAAAATAAAAGTTTTTGTTTGCATAATATATGTGTGTGTACTGTGTATATTTATTATGTATACATAAATACACATACATACAGTATATATTTTGAAAATGGGGATAGAAGATTGTCTTAAATCTCACAAGGCCCTTTCTTGCATTTCTTGATTACTGTTCACATAATTCCATTTGAATTAGGCTACATCTTTTTCCACTTTACAGGACCATCACTGACCCTATACATTAAACAGACTTTCATAACTAGTTGAAATAAACACTGTAAAGAACTGAATGTATGGACTAGCACCTCTCCTGCGTGAGATATATGAAGATAAATGTCTTTCCTCACCTGTAGAAAGATAGCAGAGTCTTTCTTATAAATGGACACCAGTTGGATGTTTGCAATAGTGTCGATGATGCCCATCGCCAGGCCTGACACTGCCATAGCAACCGCCAGCAACAGCACATTATAGCAAAGTGGGATGATAGCAAAAACCACAGAGATGATGAGGGAGGAGAGGAAGAGAGCGATGAGGGCCCAGAACAACCTAAGAACACAAGAAACAGCACGAAAGCTTTATTACTTGTTATTTGTTAATTATACCACTCTATTTCTCAAGCTTTTGTTTCAAAGTATTGCCAATTACAAATGCTAATGTTTAAGATCTGGAGCAGCTATCAAGACAGCTAAGTGAGCTCGCCACTTGATATTCCACAACATGATGTTTATCTGCATTTCATAGAGGGTCTTAAATTGTATTGTATTTCTGTGCTTTCATGTGTCTGACAGCAGACAGTTAGTAGTAGTGCTGCACAAGTAATTAAAATTTGTCTTTTTACAGTGAAATGTTACAAAAGTGGTTTATTCTGTTTTTATTTAGTCATTTTTATATGTTAATAATAATAATTTTCATGAATTATAATTTTTTTGAACAGAAATATTACAATTCAATTGACATTTTAATTGCATTTCCCCAAACGGTGCAGGTCTAGTTAGTGATTTTTTACCCTGTGGGTACTGCAAGGTGTCTGTAAAATACAGTAGACATGTTTTTAAAACTATAATAAATATTTAATATGATTTATATTCATATAATGTTTATATATTTTTTTATATAATATAATTATTGATATAATTTTAGTTTTTAGTTTTTTAAATTTTTAAACAAGTTATATCAATAATCGTATAGGTTTTAGCTTCACCTTATGGTAAATCACAGCTCAAGGGTTTGTTTGAGAGACATGGTGACAGTGAAAGCATATTTTATTGCACTGTGTTCAGATCCCATCTGTTGAGGATGTCAAGAAGTTTCAGGCTGAAAGCGGACATGAAACATTGCAATAAATCTGTGTTAAACTATAAAGCGGCCATAATAAAAGGTCAGCCAACATCTGAGATTCACAAGGTTAATCTTGAAAAAAAAAAGGAAAGAGGGACAAAAAGTGCATATACTCTCCAAGCAGGAGTGTAATCGACTCTGACAGCCTTTTACTGTGTCTGACATGAACTGATTATCTAAAGAGAAACTAAACCAAACAATGGAGTAACGGAGAGTTTATCTTGATGCAGATGTCCATCTCCAGTGGTCTCCTCATACAGTTTCTCAGCAGAGACTCGCTGCTCTACTCACGTTTTTGTGAAAGCTCCTCCAATCGAGCTGCCGATGAGCAGGCAGAGCTGCTGGGAGAAGAACACCCAGGTGATCTCCTGTAATGTGGAGCCAGTCTGGCATTTCAGATCTAGGATCGTTGGCCCCAGAAAGGCTATGCTCAGTCCAAAGCTGAAGAACACACTCCAGTATGTCAGTGTATGTTGACAGTTCCTTCTGAAAAGTGTTAATATACGCTCTTCAATTAACATAGCGTGAAAATCTCCAACCAATTCCACTCACAGCTGTAGTTCTTGGAGTCCTGCTGTCTGGATGTTTCTTTCTATGGGTTTCAGATTATTTGCTTAGATGACAGATCACAGAATAGATGATCATTTCCCGCTTTTAAATTCCTTCACTCCTCCCATTTCATGAACCATTTCATGCGATGCTTCTGAAGTTAATGCCTAAAAATCACCTCTCAACAGAGCTCTTCGAAACTGTCAATGATTTTCAGTTCAACTGTCAATGATTTTGATTCTCAATGAGAGTCGTGGATCACAATGTGATCATCTGAACACGACTGGACCACTTATATTACATCAGCATACTTTATGGGACATTATGTTTGCATGACCTCACAAAGAAACAATTTCTAAAAGAGCATTTCTTACTCATTTCTAAAGGTTGGCTATAAATACTATGGTTGTGGCTCTTCAATTTAGTATGAATGGATTGTTACGAGGCTTACATCATTGATTGAAGTTTATTCTACAAAATAATTCAGAGAGCCAATGGGACAATCATTAGCTTCGTAAAATTACAAAGTGTTACTTATATACAGTACTTGTTAAACAATGGCCTATGAACCCATCCTAAGGTTTGTTTGAAATGTCAAAACCCATATGTTTATAAGGTCCTGGTGAAGACCTGCATGTTTAGATGCATGTCCCTTTAAAGCAAAAAAAGTTTTATAAATAAATCATGAAAATTCTCTCACCATTTACTCACCCTAGTTTCAAATCTGCATGATTGTCTTTATTCTGCAGAATATAAAAAATATATTTTAATTAAAGATAATTAAATATATGTATTTGTATTTTTTAATTATTAAATAACTAACTATATTTATTCTGTAATTCATTACATAAAAATGTCATACTAACATATTAACTACATTTAGAAACATACTGAAATCATATTAAAATAAAAATGAATATTCTGTCATTATTAACTTACCCTCGTGTAATTTCAAGCCTGTATGAATTTCTTTATTCTGCAGAATACGAAAAAATATTTTAATTAAAGATATTTTAATTAAAGATAGATAGATAGATAGATAGATAGATAGATAGATAGATAGATAGATAGATGGATGGATGGATGGATAGATAGAGATTTTTTTAGATTTTAAGTTTTAATAGATTAATCACATTTAGTTACTGTGGAAATAAAACTATATAAATGCAATTAATAATCAGGTTAAACATATAAATAACTATAAACTGCAATAACCTTTATTTTAAAATTCACACATTCAAGGACTCCCATGCAGGGTTCTGTGGACCTACAGTCCAAAACTTTTACTTCAACTTCTTGTATTTATTAACAGAGAATATTTTTTCTTGCATGTAATGCTTCATTATTAATTTTTTATTGTAACTTGCAACTTTTGGGATTGTTGAGCTGCATTGAGTTCTGCATTTAGTTTACACGGTGTTACACTGTATATTGTATAGTGAGAAAAGAGGAAGCATTTATATTGCTGCAAAGCAAAACTGCTTCAAATTCTTAACTCAAAAATCTAAATACTGTATGCCCTGCACCAAATCAAGCAGTTGCACTACATGCTCTCAAATCTGTATATCCTGGTTGCCTTTTGGGGACCCATTTAGGAGTTTGCAGGAACTCCTATTTCTCCTAGCAGCAAAAACCTTTCAGTGGCTGTCAACAGCCAAACCATGAACCACTGACTATTTTCAAACATTTATTGGGCTCACACACACATGCATGCTGATTTCTTCTTTATCAAGTCTGATTAGATAACAATAGCCAGTAATGCAATGAATCCAAACAGAGAGCAATCTGATTTAGGGAGTGTATAAAATGGCTGTCTTAGATCTCAGAGGAGAGGAAGCTGATGACAGGTGTGTGCTTTTAGAATGGACATTGATTAACACGTTTAAACACTTTCTCACTTCCTAAAGCTAACTGAAAGTGACTTATTGGAGAGTAATTGCAGACTAAGACCTCAAATATGTCTGACATTCTGAATGAGGACATGTTAATTTTCAACATAGCTATCATTCTGTGAATTGCAGAATGTACTTTGTGATTATAGAGATCTGAGGATAAGTAGTTATATTTATATATTCGGCCTCAGTCATATGGCAGCATTAGAAGTAGGAGGCCTCATTTGTCTCATCAGCATGGCGCAGCTCTGAAGCATCAGAGACCAAATGAAATTGATTGCAAAATTATTGTCTGACAGAGGCTGCAATTTGTAAAATCCATAATTATTATTAATGCATCGCCCTGTTGTAATCAGATAGCACATATTTCATTTGCCTTGCAGTTTTGGCATCAACTGCTGTACTAAAAAATGGATAATTAATTTATCCACATTTAATGGTGGAAAATAGTTTAAAATAATTCCTAAAAAAAGCTTTTTTTATATTTATCAACAGATAATGTTCCAATATCTCTCGAGCAAAATTAGATAACTGTTTGTCCTATTTCAACATGCAGCATTCCGGTTAATTATTTTTCAGGCATTCATTCAATACCACATATGGCTATGACTATTTAGACTTGAATATGACATGAATATGCAAGAGCATTGTCTATGAGCACCGGTTAACCATTGTTGCATTTTAATGACAGGATGATATGTGAAATGCAAAAGGTCATGAGATGTTAAAATTTTGCAAATTGAGATGAGAAAGGAAAACCTATTATATGTGACACACAAACGTGTGCTTTCTTTGCCTCGGTTTCATCTTGATCAGCTTAGTTGTATGGGACCCTGAATCACTATACAGTTTTTCTGAATTGCTGAAACACATTTCTCGAAACCATCACTCATTTTCTCAAAACCAATTTGTCAAAACACAAATCCAAATCTTCAAACTAAATTCATAGAACTACTGACTCTTCTGGCAAAATCAAACAATCGCTTCAAAACCATTTCACCTGTACTCAAAATCAAACAATGCTTTCAAATCATACACACATTAGTCAATATGATCCGCACTGCAGATCATTCATTAGACACTACATCAAAAAATGGAGAACACAGTGTGCAGTGTGTGTGCAGTGTGTCTGTAAGTTCTTCCACCCTAACGTGGTAGCCTTGCAATTCTACACAAGAATATACTGAAATTACCAAAATACAGTGTATAAAAAATAAACAGTGTAAAATACATGTTGTAAAAAAATGTGTCCTCTTCCACTCTTCTTTAGCTGTTCTTTTGAACTTTCCAATTGATTATATGGTGGCCACGGAGAATCTGCTCAAATTAGGCTGAACTCTATGTCCTGCCTTTGTCATTTCATGCCTAAGAACATGATCAATCACAGCAGCTATGATTTCATCTGAAATGAATGTTCTTGGTATTGCTCTTCATCCTCCTCCTCTTCCTCCACCTCGTATATGCACTCTTTCTCTATACCTCTCAGATTGCTATCCATTGTTGATTGATGCACCCGTGCCATCTGTGCACTTTGAACTGGCTTATATTTTGTATTCACACAGAAACAAGTGTGAACAATTTTGAATTATTGTGTGTAAACAATGACAGCTGTGTTGCAGTTGTGCTCGTGTTTAGGGTTTTGCATCACAAGTTCATCACAGTGTAAATTGTGTTTTAGTGAGTGAGAATGTGTTTAGAGTTTTGTAAAAAAAAGAGTGCATGAGATCTGCAAACAGAGTCTAAACTGCCTGAACTGGTTTTGCAGAAAGAGTGATTCCTTTGACAAATTGGTTTAGGCTATTGAGAATTTGGTTCAGAGAATGGGGTTTAGTGTCTTAGCAAATGTGAAAAACTGCAATTATTGGTGAAAATAATTGTTATTTCTCCTTGTCTCCACTAGATGTCATAATATAGTGACATCTAATCAATGAAGTTGTGTGAAACAAGGTAAAAAATGATTTTATACAGTAACTGATGGGGAGCCATTTTATTATTACAGTTTTTTTTTATGATTGCTTATACACTAAAATCAATTCAAGCCATGGAGGAGGCTTGTGACCTAATTAATGCAGGGTCTGTGCAAGGATGGATTCGCCATTCAAGAAGATTCTTCCCTCACTGTCTTGTGAGAGAGGACATCACCTGTGATGTGGACAAAGTGCTATGGCTAGATGATGTTTAGGTTTTTTTGTTTGTTTTGTTTTGTTTATTTTTTATGCTTTCTTTTTCTCTCCACAAATGTTTTTGCTGTTTATGTACTGTATTCCATTTAGAATATGTTCTGATTTTCAGTGCAATATGCAACCTTTGAAAATGCATGGATGTATTGACTGATTTTACAATGTGGAGAGAAATAAATATTTTCATCAATGTACAGTACTGGTCTTGTGTGTTGTGTTTGGTCAATCGTGTACTTTAACAATATTTCTGAAAAAATCAAACCCAGGCTACAGTATATCATTAGAAAAGTAGAAATGTTACATGTGTTTAAGATTGAGCACCACAGTGTGTAAGTGGTTCAAACAGAATCAGATTGTATGAACCATGTGTGTGCCATTTGGTGCCAAAATTGGGTTTTGTTAAATTAGTTTTTAAAAGTTTTGAATGAAGTGCTTCGTTGTGCTAAAGATCTGAGGTGTTTTGCTACTTGTGTTTGTGGATGTGTGAATTGTGTGTTGTGTTTTGACAAAAAGAGCCTTGTTTTTAAAATCGTGCTTAAGCAATCGTAAAAAACGGTAAATTACTCACAGCTATTGCACATATTTAATTAATATATTTATTGTCATATTACTTTTGTCAAATTCATAAATGTATTTTAAAGTTTAAAAATCTGTTTAAATCATAAAATAGAAAACAGAAAATAAAGAAGAAATATACTTAATAATATAATAATCATAATAATATTGAAACATTTGGGCAAAAAAATGTTCATGATTTTAAATAGAAATTGAGCCCTCTGCAGTTATCATATGTTAGGGTTTGAGAAATTACCCATGACTTGTACTATTTACTGTTTAACACTATTTTAAATGCTAATGATTGCAAATATTACATTATGAGTATTGCAAATATTTAATTCA